CTTGGGCCACCGTCGGGTCAGGACCCAGGCGTCCAGGGCGGTGGGGGTGGGGCCGCAACGTGGCGGGGGGCATGCCAGGGCCCTGTAATGAGGGTGAGGGGTGGGGAGGCGACGGGCCCAACAGGTTCCGCCTCATTCCTGCCCCGCCTCTCACTTCCTGGGTGCCTGCCCCGGGCAGGGGGTGGACGGGATGAACCCCATGGCCTGGCCTCAGAGCGCCTGGGTGGGGCATGGCGCGCCCCACAAGGACTCGCTTCTGCTGGTCACCCTGACACCCAGGCCTGAGAGACAGGAGGAGCCTGGGTCCTTCTACCGGCCAAGCCCCCTCCCTGCTCCTCTGCCCAGCTCTGGGAACAAAGCGTCCCATCTATTATTCACTTAATCCCACAACGCCACAATAAGCGGGTCATAATTATTCCCCATTTTCAGATGGGGAAACCGAGACCCAGAGAGTAACAAGGGCAGAGGCAGGATTTGAACCCAACCCTGTATGCTACCCAAGACCCCCAGCCAGCTCACCAACAGCCTTCCCTCCCCTCTCTAAAAATGGTACATGTGGGGTGGAGTATGAACCCAGGCCCCCACGAGGCCCGGCTCAAGGGGGCGCCTGGCTTGCTCTGAGTCAAAAGGAGCCCCTGGATGAAATGAATAAGAAAACGGCTTTAACCGTTTCATCGCCGATGGGCTCTGCAAAAACTTCCTGTGGGCTATGGGGGAGGGGCTGGGGGCTGGGTTCCCAGAGGGTTGGGGGGTAGGTACTGCCAATTCAGGGGTGGGGGAAACGGCTCTAGTGACCTTGGCAAGGGATGTCTAAGGGAAGACACCAGACACCGACCCTCGCTGGAGGTAGAGCCCCACCCCTTAAGCTCTAGGCCCCCAGTACTCGGTTCTCAGCCCCCACTGCCTGGAGGGGGGTCTCAGAGTCCGCAGCCCCCTCCCCAAGGGCTTGAGTCACACAAGGGGAAAGCCGCGAGGGGTGAGTCACGGGGTGGAGAAGGGGGAGCGAGGTTGGCTGCGGCCAGGGGACCCTCAAGCTGGCCTGAGTCACGCACGCCAGGGCCTCGCTGACCCCAGCCCCTTCCCCGGAGACCAGGAGGCCAGGAGCGGGCAGCGCATTGTCGGTGGAATACGGAGCTGGAGGAGGAGCGGGAGGGGGGAGGAAGCACGAGCCCGGCCGCGCGGGAAGCTCCGGTTCCCATGGTAACTGAGGGGTCTCTCAGCTCGATGGCGGGGTTCCTCCCTCGGCCGGGACGGTCCCCGCGCGCTGGGGAAGCCCCCGCGCGCTCTATCGAGGGGCCACAAGTTTCAGGTCGGGCAGGAAGGGGTTAACGGCAGCCCCCTCCCGGGTTTCACCCGCGCCCAAGTCCCCGCCGGGGTGGGGCTGTGCCCCGCGCTCCCCCGCGCGCCTAACCGCCGCGGCCGCCCGCCTACGCACGCACGCACGCAGCTAGCCCATCCCCCCGCGCTCGCACGCACGATCGCGTCTGGCTCCACGCACGCAGCGACCCCCGTCGTGCCTCACGTCACGCACGACGCACGCGCCCCCGCAGCGCCGGGAGGGGCCGAGAGCGGCAGGACTCCGGGCGCTTGACGCACCCCCCAGCACATCACCGCCTCCTCACGCTGTCTTGTGTGACTTTGACACCCCCCCCACACAAGGTCACAAAGTCTCAGATCCACAGTGTCACACGGACACAGGATACACCTGCCACACGTTGGCACAAACATTAACTAGTCCAGCCAGCTCCGCAGCGAATGTGGGCAGGGTCACACTGTCACACATCGTTTGTGGTAGGGCCATTTTCATACACAGATAGGTGGCATATACAGACACTACGATAAAGCCACACCATCAAGACAAAGTAAGACACAGATAAAAGTCTTGGACCTCAGGACTCCAACTGTCACACAGCCACTCCTCTCACATGGAGATTGTAGAGGCACAGAGACACATGCTGGGGACGGACACACGACGGTCATGCAGGCATCACAAGTAGGGCACATGAAGTAAAGTAGGGTCACAGACACAAACCCACAAGGCCACACACAGGGACACCAGATTGCCTCGGGGACATGAATAAACCAAGGACAAACATGACAGGTTCATGCTATCACAGAAAAACACACGATGGAGAGAAAGTAGGACACGGTCACAGAAACACAACCTAAATCCATACTGAAGTACTGATTGTCATACATTCACTTCTCACACAAAGAATGACCTAGGGATATAGACACACAGCAAGGTCCCATAAAGAGAAGCATGTGCCCTAGTCCCTGACAGCATCCCCCCAAAACCACCAAATCACACACACATAGCCTTTTGGGTAAATTCCCGGGGCCCCAAGACACAGGTAGATGCAGACACATAGGCCTGTGCACACACAACCACAGACCCACCATCTCACACCTACATAGATGTGAACACACTTCACATGGACTCAGAGACATATACAGACCCGGGGAGGGGGTCAGGATGGGAGTCCTGGTGGAATGTCAGTGTCTGGAGAGCAGAAAGCCTGCCAGAGTCCCTCATGGTATGGGGCATGGTGTCCACCCTGAGCTTGTGGTCAGCCCCGGGGGTGGGGGAGGGGCACCATCTCCAAATGTGTGAACCTAGGGTCTCCATCCCAGCTCTCATGACTGGGTCTCTGCCCAGATGTGAAGGCCGGAGGGGGTGGGCGGGGGTCCAGCTGTGGCCGCAGGGAGGGGTTGAGTCACCCGCTTCCCAGCAGTACAGCCCAGGCTGGGCCCAGCTGTTCCAGGAAATAGACAGGAGGGGGTGGGGTCCCCAAACAGCTGGGGGCTGCTGGTCCAGCCCTGCACCCTGTCCTTAATGGAGGCCTCCAGATAATTCCCCAAACTTTGGGGCTCTCTCCACCGAAAGTGGGGGGTTTGAATCCTTCCCCCAAATAAAGGATCCCTGCTTCAAAATAAGGGTTTGTGACCCCTCTCTGTGGATTGAAGGCACACTGATGCCCCCAACAGTGGAGTTCCCTGCGTCACATAATAGGGATTGCTGCTCTTCCCTGCCAACGTAGGGAGCTCCCTTTCCCCCCAAACATGAGATTCCTTGCCGCCCCAAATGGAGGGTTGTGACTCCTCCCCCAACGTGAGGGCACCCAGACCTTCCTTTAAATTTGGGGACTTTTGGGTCCCTGAACATCTGTAACGCCTATAATATCATGGCAACGTTAAAACAATTCAAGTCCATGCTCTGGATAATTAGATTCCTCCTAAACATCAAGATCCCTGCGGGTTTTGCAAGTATTGGGAACCCTACTCCCAAATATTTGGCAGTCCTAGCATGTCTCCCAACATTGGGCAACCAGGTCCTCTCACAAATAATCCCAGCCTCCTCTCCTTGTAACAGCCATAGCTTCGGCTCACCTTCCACTTCTGCCTGGTGGCAGGGGGGCCCCGCTTCCCCTTACTGGCAGCACCCTCTCCTTAGTGGGTGCGGGATAAGGGAATCAGCGGCGTCTGTTCTCACGCCCGCCGCCGTAAGGCAGCCTTGTCCGGAAGCCGGCACTGTTGGCCCTTGTCCCCTTCCTCCCTACTCCCCCCACTCCACTCTACTCCCAGGGGATGGAGGCTGAAAACAACTCGGAAGGGGATGTGGGTGTGTAGACGAGCCTCCAAGGCCCCTGCGTGCGTGCAGTTGTGCGTCTGAGTGGGCTGTAACCTGGAGTCTGGTGCTAGAGTGATTGTGTTCCTGCGATGGTGCGGGGACGGGGGGAGTGCGGGGGGAGAGGGGAGCTCTAGTCATCCTGCTCAACCCGTTCGGGGGCAGGGTCGCCGAAGCCAGACTCTGGGTTGGAGGGAGCAGCTCCCCGCCCCTCAGACCTAGACCCACCCCCAAAACCGAGTCCGCCCCCCTCTCTGGGTACAGCTAATAACCTCTAATTACTGCTCATTACCTCGCCCGCTCCGCGGGGGAGGAACTGCCCGGGAACTCAGGCGTCAGAGGTCCGGTGCTTTACCCCCTCCCTTAAAGCCGGATCCACCCAGAACCTCTGTTTCCTCGCCTGCGAACCGTGAATTTAAAGAGCACTTGCCACCTAGAGTCGTGGAGATTTCAACCATCTATATATCTAAATCGCTTAGCGCAGAGACTGCATTTTGTAGGCACCCCATAAATGGTGACTGAGATTTTATTGTTAACTAGTATTGTTAGCACTTTCCTTTAAGCCCCCTTCACTGCCCAGACAGGGTCTCAGAGTGGGCCCATCCTTTTCCCCGTAGGCCGCGTTCCTGCTGTCTGGGCGCCCCGGGTGGGCCGTGGCGATCAGGGCGGCCCCGTCCTGGGTTCTGAGGGAGGAGGGCCCAGGCGCGGGGCTCAGGGAGGGGAAAGGGCAGGTGGAGGACGGATCCAGGCTAGGCAAATAAGTCTGTCCATTACCTAGGACATGTGTCTGACCCATCCTGCCGTCGACTTAGGACCCGAATCCCCTTGTCTACCCCTGGGCAAGGCTATCAAGTCACCTACACTGGGAAGAACCCTTTAGTGTTGTTTCCCCTCCAAGTCCATAGAATATATTAAGACCTGCCCCTCTCCTGCGCAAAGGCTCTGATCATAATGTGGCTAGACAGCAGAATTTCTTTCAGCCGAAGGGAAGGGACGAGAAGGCGCCTGTACAACAGGGTGGGGCAGCTCCGCCTCTGATGAAGAGGAACGACTGTGAAGTCTTCGTTACCCCCAAAAAGAGCTCGGGGAGGAGGGGAGGCGAAGCCACCCTTGGGATGCGCAAGGCTGGCCCAGACTGACCCCTAGCGGCAGGCCGGCGCCCAAATGCTTCCCGGATCTAAGATGGCGGGTCTGAAGCCCTGAGCTGGTGCCGGGAGGAGATCACGTGCCCAGGGCGGGGCCTGCGCTCAGGGGGCGGGGCGGCGCTCTAGGCCGAGCGGGAGGTCGGGGCTGCGGGCGCTCGCTGGTGGCGGATCTGGACGCCGCTGCGGTGGCAGGGCTCCGCGGCCGGGGTCGAATCCAATCGGGAGCCATGAGCGTGGACAAGGCCGAGCTATGCGGGTCTCTGCTCACCTGGGTAGGTCGGGGGCGGGGCCAGGGACAGGTGTATGCCCTCTCTTCTCGCCCGGTAGCCCCGACCTTGGCTCTGTGCACCCTTCCGTCCTGGGGCAGGGAGGAGGAAGGGATCGTCGGCCTGCCAGGCCGTTGCACTCTGGCCTGAGCACCTGACCTGTCAAGTGGCAGGTTTGCGTGTAAAGAGCAGGTGAGGCCACGCCCCTTCGTGGCTGGGTCATGTGGGGCGAGGGCACAGGTGAGCTGGCCTGGTCACGTGGTGCCTATGGGGACCAAGTGACTCGTGGTCTGCTCTCGCCTGGTCGCGCGGGGTTTGTTGGGCTGAGGTATAATGAGGCCACGCCCCCTCCGGTCCGTCCAGGTGAGCAGAAGCCACTCCCCCACGGAGCTGGCTTGCTGGAGCAACAGGCCAGCCCCCACCCAGCATGTGAGGGTCCTGCTGACCGGAAAAGTCTGTAAAAGGGGTTTTGTTCCGTGGTCCCAGGCCCTGATAATGCCTGTTGCACTTTCCTCTCCCCCACCAGTTGCAGACGTTCCATGTCCCGCCCCCCTGTACCAGCCCCCAGGAACTGAGCAGTGGCCTCGCAGTAGCCTATGTGCTGAACCAGATGTGAGTGGGGCTGAGGGGGAGGGTCCCAAAAGGGTCCCCCAGCAGCTCATCCCACCTTCTCACCCCCAGAGACCCTTCCTGGTTCAACGAGGCATGGCTCCAGGGCATCTCAGACGACCCAGGTCCCAACCGGAGGTTGAAGGTGACAGGTGGACTCATGAATGGGGGACAGACTGGTGAAGAGTTGATCAGGGAAGGGTCAGTTAGACATGTCCTGGGTGATGGACAAACAGATCTGGACAGGAAGAGGGACAGATGTATGGTGACCAGCCAACGATGTATTTATTCCTTCATTCTTCTATTAAGCAGGCCTGGGTGTGCAGCAAGGAATAACATAGACAAAAACCTGCATACACAAACATTAACATTGACTTCCAATGGCAATTAGTTCTATGAAGACAATGAAAGCTGGGCCATGAGAGAGAGCAACTGAGAGTGGGTGGGTGGTTACTCCAGATGGGCTGATCTCCATGTAAGATTTGGAGGAATAGCATTCCAGACACAGGGAGCACCAAATGCAAAGGCCCTGAGTTAGAAGTAAGCTTGGTGTGATCGAGGAATAGCAGGGGGGTCAGAACAGAAAGCAAGGGGGCAGGAATGGTAGATGAGATCATCAAGGGCCTGGCAGGCTGGAGCAGGGAAGATAGATTCTATTTTAAGTGCTGTGTAAAGTCAAGGAAGGATTTTAGTAGAGGAAAGACACAAAACTGGCTTGGGCTTTAAAAAGCTCCCTCTGGTTGCTTGTAGAGAAATGGAGGGGTGGGCAGCAAGAGTGGAAGCTGGTGCAATAATTCAGGTGAGAGATGATGATGGCTAGGGTCAAAGTGTAGTGGGGCAGGTGGTGAGAAGTGACTGGATTCTGGGGACACATGAACAAGATGGGCAGGTGGGTAAGAAGGGCAGGCAGCCAGACAGGTCACTCCTAGGAGAGGGGACATACAGACAGAGAATGGGGCTAAACAGGATGAGATGACCAGGAATTGGGAGGCGAGACAGAGAAAAAAAGAATGGGCTAGACAGATTCAGGGTGGGGGCTGATTGGCCCCTTCTGGGGGGATTTGGGACCCTGGACACAACCCCTTGACCCTCCCCAGGTCAACAATCTGAAGACAATCTTACAGAGCCTGGTGGAGTACTCCCAGGATGTGAGTAACTGTAAAGGGATTTAGGGGGTTGGGTTGGGAGGAGGGGGGATCCGTCAGCCCCTGATACCCCTTCCTCCTCCCATCCTCAGGTCCTGGGGCATCCCATTTTGGAGCAGCACCTTCCAGATGTGAGCCTTATTGGCGAGTTCTCCGACCCAGAAGAGCTTGGCAAGCTGCTTCAGCTGGTGCTGGGCTGTGCTATCAGTTGCGAGAAGAAGCAGGGTATGGGTGGTTAGGGGGTCCCTAGGGGAAGACCTGAGGAAACCCTTCTTGCCCTTCCACCCGCCATCTCAGTCTCCCCCACCTTGACCCCCAGAGCACATCCAGAGAATCATGACGCTAGAGGAATCAGTTCAGCATGTGGTGATGGAAGCCATCCAGGAGGTAGGTGGGTATGCCCACTGTAGCGAGGAGCTTCAGGGGAGGGGACATCTCCAAGGCAGCTGGGCACAGGCTCTGCCCTGGTAAGGTCTGGGCTCTGTCTGGAACTCAGCTGGCCAGATTTCCCTGTCCCACGTGTCTGCCAGCGCCCCTCAGCTCTAAGTCACGAACTAGCACACTAAAAGGGCCAGGCCTCGGAATTCCCTGGTGGTCCAGTGGTTAGGACTCAGCGCTTTCACTGCTGTGGCCCGGGTTCAATCCCTGTTTGAAGAACTAGGATCCCACAAGGCGCGCAGTGTGGCCAGGTGGCCGGGGAGCGGGGAAGGACCAGGACTCCCTGCGTGCTGGACACATGAGGCAACCTCTGGGCTGGGGTTATTGGGGAGGACTGGCTTTGGGGACAGGAGGATGGAGTAGTTCTTAGGCTGGATTGTAGAAGCCTTGGAGGCTGCCCTCAGAGGGCCCAGTTCATTTCATTGTCCTCCCACTGCACCCCCCCACCCCCTCCAGCTCATGACCAAAGACACCTCTGACTCCCTGTCACCGGAAACATATGGGAACTTTGATAGCCAGGTAAGGGGTGGGGACCTTGTTAAAGGTCCAACCCCATTACTGACTTTCAGGGCTACCTAAGGAGCAAGGGCTTGACCATAAGCCTGTAAACCACTCCCATCCTCCAGGGTCCTACCCTCTTCCCTTGCCAGGTCCCCAGGGTTCCTGAATTGCCTTTTCTCCAGTCCCTTCAGGTCCCAGCCCTCTCTTCTTAGATCTTGAGGGTTTCTCGGCTCCCTCCTCTCTGTCCCTGAAGACCCCATCCTCCGCTTGCCCATTTTCCTCCCCTGGATCCCTGGGTTTCTTGTGTCTCCCGGCCCTCCCCCCTCCCCTCCCCT